CCCTTGGAGCTCCGCAGGAGGCCAAGGCCTTTAGAGAGCGGGCAGGACCCGATTTTGCGGAGATGTGGCTTTCTGGGTGGGAAGGTCCTTTAGCTCCTCACCTGCCCTTCCACTGTGCGACATGCCAGTCCTCATGCAGGTGTCCTCCCTTCTCCGATGCTGGGGCCACACAGATGCACCTAAGCATCCCACGTGGGCTTTAGGAGGAGGACCTCTTGGCTGTCTGGGGGCTGACAGACCAGCTACTTTTCGAGATGACAGTGTTTTCAATTGTTTTTTTTTAAGGCTGGGATTCCCCTTCTCTCTCCATCCCCCTTTTCCCAAGAAAATTTCATTTCCTTCGAATTGCAACTGTGTTGTCAGCACAGGTCTGCCTACAGGGTCCGGCCATTCCAGGGCCTCGGGTTCGGAAGGAGCAGACCCAGTCTGGACTGATTGAGAAAAGAGGAGACCCAACTCCGATAATCCCAGCGTCCTCTCCCCACCCCGGCTCTCGCCAGGCCTGGAGTGGACATCGGGCTGGACAGAGGCTGCTTTCCATACCAAACCCCTCTAAGCCCCAGACCTGAGACTTGAAAGCAGGAGAAAGTCTAAGTGCCAAGTCAGAACACCCACTGGAAAATCAACCTCTCCTTCTCTCTTGCCCCGAAAAAACAGTGAAAGCAGCAGTGTTTTCAGAGCACTTCAGTGACCACTGAAAAGGGAGAAACTGTGAGCCACCTCGATGCCAGTGAATGTCTCCAGTTCTTACCTTGGTCACTGTTCTTAGTAAAGGAGGTTAGAAGCTCAGATTAGTAGATGTTGCTAACAGACACCCAGGGCTCAGAGGCTTCATTCTACATCACTGGACCTGCTCCCCTGGAGTGAAAATGTTGGCGATGGGGACAGGGGGGAATTCTGCCAGGAGGTTGGCATTGATAAGGAAAATGGGGCAGGCTCCCCGGCTGGGACATCTTTCAATTCACTTCAACATGGACGACCAGCCCCTGATTTCAGTCTCTGCCCAGAGGGAGCTGCTGTGTGGATGACTCCTTTAGTTAGTTTGCTGTTCTTTTTGCTCTGCAGGCGGCTGTGGGGCGCGTAGGTAGCAAACAGGAACGAATGAATCTTGAGCGTGGTCTTGGAGTTGTGGGGGTTCAGAGCTAGTCACCCCAAGGTGTGCTTCTATGGTATGCTGATTGTTTTGAGCTAAAGGCAATTTCAGGTTCAGGCCCAAGAGAAACTCCTGCCCCTCCCTCTAACTACCTAGAAGAACCTGGACCAGGGGCCTCACCCATAATAAGAGATGGTCAGAGATAACCTCATTTGACCTATCCAGAGGGCAGGACAAACTTCTATTTACTAAGCATCTTATCATCCTGCGGCGAAGCCCCTAAGGCATCTGCCTCCTCCCTCGCTCAGGATGCCTTACATCCCTCAGTCCCCCTCTCTGCCTCGGAACCTCTCATGGATGTGGGGTCTCTGACTCTCACATGCATGTGGGCTTCCCATACATACGTGTGTATTGAACTTGGTGATTTTCGCTTGCTAATCTGCCTCATGTCTGTTGGGTTATTAGACCAGACAGAGAACCTTGAGGGTAGAGGGAGGTTTGTTCCTCCCCCACAGAGCACGCTTGGGTTTTAGTGGGTTGTGTCAGAGTGGCCCTGGGCTCAGCCAGTGGCGAGGACCACCCCAGAGTCCTCCACATGCATACGGGGCCTGGGCCTAATCCAGCATCGGCTCCAGGGGGAAGGCCTGCTGTCGGAAGCCTCCTTTTCAGACTGTTACAGTTGTACAAGCAGAAACTAACACTGTGGTCCTTAATGTCATGGGCTTCAGCCTCTCCTTAAAACTCTCTTTCCCGCCCTTCTCTCTCCCCCGTCCTAGGTCCGCTCAGTAACCTCCAGGATACCCCATTCCTATGTGAACAGACAGCTTTTACCTTAAGGGTCCTGGGGCACCCTCAGACTTTCGCAGGGGAGGAAGAAATAATTTCCCCTCTACCTTTCTGCGTTCTTAGCTGAGGCCCCTGTCATAAAAGACAGATTAACAAGAGAAAAACAAAAGGAAGTTTATTAGCACAGATACCTCATCTGTACATGGGAGAGACTCAGAGAAAAATGAGTAACTCCCCAGGTGGCTAAGAATTCAGGCTGCAAAACCACCTTCCTAGGGAACTGGGTGGGGGATGTGGGCCTCTCGGGGGGCAGAGGAAATGGTTTTCAGGACAGATGAATGGCCCTTAGGAGAAGGGGGGGGAGGGTGTGATGGCTTGTGAGAGTGTGTCTGAGGGTGGTGTGGACATCTAGTCTCCTCTCCTATGGTAAGAGTCAGTCCTCCCTGGTAGATGAAACTCCCCCCCAAAAATGAATGACAGTTGAGATTCTCTTAGAGGTTCTGTCTTTAGGCAGATAAGGGAGCTCAGAGGAAGCCTCTCCCTGAGTTGCTAATTTTCAAGTGTCTACATGTCAAAATAGTCAATATAGACCAGAGTGGCATATTTTGGGGTGTCATTTCCTGAACTCCTGCACTCATATTTTGGGGTGACATATGCTCCTATCCTTCACTTTCAAACGTGGGCATCAATTTGCCATTTATTTCAATCCTCTGATTGCCTTAGTTGCAAAGCATACTTTTTTTTAATTTGGCACAAGCCTAAACGTGCACTGTGACACCTGCATGGAGGTTAGTGGTTAGTCATTTTGAAGGATGAAACAACTACAAGTGAACTGAGTTTGCTTCTTCTTTGACTCAGTAGCCGAGCACGCAGGAAGCCATAATGAGCCAACTATTTGGGATCATTACAAAGGGACACTTTTACCATAGCCATGGCCATGGCCATGGCCATAGCAGAGTGTGTCTGAGCACTGATGCCAGGGCCCGGCCGCTGTGTGGAGGCCCTGCCCATCACCTAGGCCTGGGGAACTGGCACCTGTCAGTGGCCCCACCTGGTATGATTGGGAGGATTACCTGAGCTAATATAAAAGCTTGGAAAAGAGCTTGGCACACAGTAAGCGTGGTAAGTGTTGGCTGCAATAAATCCTACAGCTGTGTTGCAGGGAACTTGGCAACACTGGCACTGTATTAAAATTTAAATTCTAAGTATTTTCTGAGATATTTGTTCATTACAACTGTTAAATAATCTAAGCATCATCAAGGCATATGCACAGAATTTTAGTTATCTGAAGAGAAACATTTTGATCCATCATCGACAACGGGGACAAAAGCACACACACACACACACACACACACACACACACACACACGGGAATATAAACCAGAAACAGCAATTTAACTAAAATTTAACCGAAGCAGATGCATTTGAATGAAGACTTGGAGGGATTTGTGCAAGTGTGTGTGAGTGTGTGCGCGCGCGCGTGCAATTTGCCTTTTTCTCCTTGTCGTCAAAATAGTTCCATTTAGGAAACACACTCCCTTCCCAAATTCGCAGATATCTGCAAATAGTGTTCTGCCCAGAAGGGACAGAACAGCTAACCCTGCGTCATTTGAAGCAAATTGCCCACGATGTCAAAATGGAATATTTATTGCTGTTTGGGGATTGACTTATCTGCAGAAACACATATTGCTTCTCACCGTGAAATCAGGGCCATCCCTTGAAATAGGACAACCAGGCATCTGCCTCAGGAAGGGATGCGAGGGTCCCAGAGGAGCTCCCACCAACCCCCATGCAGCCCCCACGTCCTATCACCCTCACCCCTCCCTGCTGTGAAATGCCTGCCCCTGGGGTCCATCTTGTGCTTAGAAAAGACAAATGTCTCACTTAAAATACAATGTCCCCCAGGGAGCAGAGTGTGTTTGCTGTCTCTTGCACACTGTAGAGCAGGGGTGCTCAAACTTTTTCAACAGGAGGCCAGTTCACTGTCCCTCAGACCGTTGGAGGGCTGGACTATAGTTTAAAAAAAACTATGAACAAATTCCTATGCACACTGCACATATCTTATTTTGAAGTAAAAAAACAAAACGGCAACAAATACAATAGTTGTATTTGCATGTGGCCCGTGGGCCGTAGTTTGAGGACCCCTGCTGTAGAGCCTGGACAGACAGCTGCTGCACCCCTTCAGTTGCTAGAGCAGACCCCGAAGGTGACTCTGTGGAAAGAGTCTGGGCAACAAAGATTCGAGCTGCAGAGAGAGAGAGAGAGGATCAAGAGCTGGTGCAAATGTTCAGGGAAGAGTCTTTGAGGAGGGGGAACCTGAGGAGGGGGTCTCCTTACATAGGAACTGGCTTTGGGTGGAGAGAGGATAGTGGAGCTCTCAGTGGGGAACGGGAGGGGGTGAGAGAGCCGACCTCATTGGGCAGGAAATGGCTTGCTCCCTCTTGGCCTTTAGATCCCTTCCTCTTCCATTCTGCTCCACACAGACGTGGAAAGAACTAGAAAAGCACAGAGCCGGTGGGAACGGCAGGAATGACGTGTATTAGCACTAAGGTCCTCGCCATACTGCGCGCTTCCATCCTCCTCAGTGCTGATCAGCGGTGATGGAGCTTCATTAGAGAATGTTCGTTTCAAATAAAGGGGCAAGGAAAGTGGAAATTAGTCAGCAAACCGGGCCGGGGCTGCCAAAGCCACACTGCCCATTCACCCCCACCTAGAACCAACCCTGGGTAAAACGGTCCCGATATACCCCTCTCCATAGCATTACAGTGGCTCGCGGTCTCTTACAAACTAAAGATATGGCAAGTACATGGTGGGCAGAGGTAGGTTTACTCTGAGTAGGTGAAACCGGGGTTTATTTTGTATTATTATTTATGAATGAGTGTGTTATTTATTTGTACACAACTGTAAACCTACTTTTGCCTACCCCTAGATTTGCAGTTTCCTTTTCATAGGTTTTTCCTGATAAGTAGGTGTCAAGCCTTGTAAAGAAAAAAGCATATTATATATATATATAAATAATGGTAAATTTACATTTTCTCAGTTTGGTTACACGGCTGTTGTGGTTGCTTTGCAATTGTGGGCAGATCCCACCCACCTACTCACTGTGCCGTTTCTTTTCTAGAGCCAGAATAGGACAGACTCATATACCATTGTGATCTGGGTGCACTTCTTCAGAAGGTACGCTCGCTGCACGCACGGGGAAGGGCGCTGGGCTGGGGCTGACAGGCCAGGAGATCTGCATGCATTTTAACCATGGCTCTCAGGGAAGGGAAGGGAAGGGAAGGGAAGGGAAGGGAACGATGGGCAATCGGAGTATGCGTGCGTGTGCTCTGGCCTCTCCTTGGCATTCATGCCACTGTGGTACCAGCAGAATTTCCACCTGGGGATTCCGCAGA